ACACACACACACACACACACACACACGTAAATATCCCTTTGGAGCTGGGTACTGATGGCTCATCCTATAATCCTAGACACTTAGGGGGCTGAGATCTAAGGATCACAGTTCAAAGCCATCCCAGGCAGGAAACTCCATGAGACTCTTATCTCCAATTAACCACCAGAAAACCAGAAGTGGAGCTGTGGTCCAAACTGGTAAGAGTGCTAGCCTTGAGCAAAAGGAACTCAGGAATAGCACCCAGGCCTGGAGTTCAAGTCCCAAGACTGACCCTCCTCCCCCCTCCTCCCAAAAAAATAATAAAATCCCTTTGGGTATAAATTTAATCTACATGCAGGCAATTTTCTTAGGATGCACTCATTGGCCACAGAACAATTGGGATATTTTTTCTTTCTTTCTTTTTTTTTTTTTTTTGTCGGTCCTGGGGCCTGAACTCTGGGCTTGGGCACTGTCCCTGTGCTCTTCAGCTCAAGGCTAGTGCTCTACCGCTTGAGCTACAGCGCCACTTGCGGTTTTATAGTGGTTTATTGGAAATGAGAGTCTCATGGACTTTCCTGGGCTGGCTTTGAATCTTGAGCCTCAGATCTCAGCCTCCTGAATAGCTGGGATTGCAGGCATGAGCCACAGTACCTGACTCTGTGCCTAACTTGTACCCCCCTCTCCAGCTGGAGGATCTAGAAGTCACTGTAGCTGACCACATCCAAAAGGTCATGAAACCAAGCTTTGAAGCAGCCTGGGAAGAGGTTGGGGATGAGTTTGAGAAAGAGGAGACATTCACTCTGTCTACCATCAAGACGCTCGAAGGTAAAATCCAGCGGGGGTGCCATCTCTGACCTCCCTGCCTTACAGAACCTGGGCTACTGCTGATACTGCTGATAGGTGCTTCTCCCTCAAGCCACATTGAGAGCACATGTCTATGAAATGCTGCTTGACCTATAAGCCCCCACACTGTTGCTGGCACAAAGGGATGGTGGCTTGGGCCTGGGAATACATACATCTCAGTGCAAAATGTGTGTGTGCATCAGCTTTAACATTCTTGGGCGTTTTCCCATAGAGGCTGTGGGCAATATTGTGAAGTTTTTGGGAATGCATCCTTGTGAGAGATCAGACAAGGTGCCAGACACCAAGAACAGGGTCTAGGTGCTCTTTAGCTTTTGTTTTCAAGGTGGGTGCTCTACCACTTGAGTCACAGATCTACTTCTGGCTTTTTGGTGGTTAATTAGGATCAGTATCCTAATTGGCTGGGTTCAAACCATGATCCTCAGCCTACTGAATAGCTAGGATTACAGGTGTGAGCCACAACAGTTGTTTTTGGTAATGCAGATGTTTATATAAAAATTGTGTATGCACACCTTTCCTTTATATTTGAGTGATATCCTGTCAGTATGTACAACTTTTGCCTTCTTTTAATTATGGTAACATATGCATATTTACAATTTTAACAGTTTTTAAGTGTATAGATGAGTGGATTGGGTTATACTTATGTTATACAAATATTACCTCAGTCCAGTCTCAGAACTTTATTTTGTTGGTTATGGGGCTTAAACTTGGTCTGGGCGCTGTCCCTCAGCTCTTCAGCTCAAGGCTAGTGCTCTACCACTTTGAGCTATAGCACCACTTTCAGTTTTCTGGTGGTTAATTGGAGATAAAAGTTTCATGGACTTTCTTCCTCAGGCCTGCTTTGAACTGCGATTCTCAGATCTCAGCCTTCTGAGTAGGTAGGATTACAATGAGCTGCTGCCACCGGCTTCAGAACTAAATCCACATTCCTTTTTATGGCTTCCTTGTATCCCATTGGGTAGCTACACAGTATTTTATGAAACTAGCCCCTACTGGTTTCCCATCTTTTACAAACAATGCTATAACAAATAATATTCATACTTTGTTTTGCATAAAATATCTATTGTAAGTTTCTTGAAGCATGATCAAGTCAGATCTGCATTTGTCATTTTGATAACCCGTGGCTCTTTTCCACAATAACTGTACATACACCTTATACACCCTAGGTAGCATCATATGTCACCATACTGTAGAACCTTTGCCAGTCTGGGTGGATTATGTTATCTTTGTGTTAATTGTAATGTAAGTTTTTTTAATATTTTGAATGTAATTAAGCATCTGCTGTATTTTTTCCCCCAGTACTTTGTATTTTCTGTTATGTCTTGGCTTGTCCTCTGTGTCTATATTGGTCTTTTCTAACAAGAGTGGGTGCTAGGCACCAATGGCTCATGCATGTAATTCTAGCTACTCAGGAAGCTGAGATCTGAGGATTGCAGGTTAAAGCCAGCCCAGGCAGAAAAGTCCTGGGCCTTAAACTTTGGGCTTGGGTGCTGCCCCAAGTCTCCTTTTGCTCAAGACTAGCACGCTACCATTTGAGCCACAGTGCTACTTTAGGTTTTTTCTGTGATTATTTGGAGTTAAGGTGTCTCATGGACTTTCTGCCCAGATCCTTAGATCTAGGCTTACAGGTGTGAGCCACTGGCTACAGGCTCTTATATCCAATACACTACTCAAAAAAGTCAGAAGTGGAAGGGTGGGAAGGTGACTTAGTGGTAGAGCGCTTGCCTTGCATGCATGAGGCCCTGGGTTGGATTCCTCAGCACCATGTAAGCAGAAAAATCCAGAAGTGGTGCTGTGGCTCAAGTGGTAGAGCACTAGCCTTGAGCACAAAGAAGCTCAGGGAAGTGCCCTGGTCCTGATATGCAAAAATATAAAAAAATTAAAAAAAAACCCAAGACCTAGCTGGGCCTCGGTTGCTCACACCTGTAATATTAGCTACTTAGGAGGCTGAGATCTGAGGATCATAGTTTGAAGCCAGCCTGGGCAGGAAAGTCTGTGAAATTCTTATTTCCAATTAACTACAAAGGCAGAAAGTGGAGCTCTGGTGCAAAGTAGTAGAGCACTATCCTTGAGCAAAAAGCTCAGGGACAGCACCAAGGCCCTGAGTTCAAGCCCCAGGACCAACAAAAAAAAGGGAGGGGGGTTGGATATGTAAGCATTTCCTCTTGGAGATTTTTAGACATTCCCCGAAAATAAATGGTATGATCAACCCAACTACCCCCTTTTCAGAGTCCCTGTTAGTAGCAGCTGTGCCTTTTCTTTCCCCAGATTGTTTTTCAAGCATATATATGTTATTCATATTATGCGTTTTTCTTCAGGGATAATGACCTAGGTCTAACACAAAAAGGGCAATACTTGTAGCCCAAACAATTAACAAAAGGAAATGGATACCACCTATAGCCTTGCAGTGCTGAAGATCTAACCCAGGACTTGTGGGTGCTAGGCAAGTTACACCTAGTCCGGGATGCTCTTTTTTACCCCGCCTCCATTGAATGTTTATAAACAGGGCCAGGAGGTGTTGTGTTTCGCTTGTGCTCACAGCCTCAGCCCGCAGGCCCTCCCTTCCTGACCATAATGAAACAACTTGGTCCCTTGGGTCTTGTTGGGGCTGTCCCTTCCTCTTGTTCTCATTCAGTTTCGCTTGTGTGAGTGCTTCTAACATCAAGTGCCATGGATTAGCTTGGCAGAAGCTGAAATAGCACTTTTTTTTTTGTCAGTCGTGGGGTTTGAACTGGACCTGTGCGCTGTCCCTCAGCTCTTCAGCTCAAGGCTAGTGCTCTACCACTTGAGCCACAGCGCCACTTCCGGCTTTTTTTTTCTGCTTATGTGGTGTTGAGGAATCGAACCCAGGGCCTCAAGCACGCAAGGCAAGCACTCTACCTTCCCAGCCCCCCCTGGGCTTCTTTTGCTCAAAGCTACCACTTGAGCCACAGGGCCAGCTTTGGCTTTTTCTGCGTATGTGGTACTGAAGAATCAAACCCAGGGCTTCATGCATGCGAGACGAGCACTTCACCACTAAGCCACATTCCCAGCCCTCCTGGCATTTCTTTGGAAACAGTTTTGGGTCTTTTGCTGTGTGCTTTCAGCTCCTCAGGTGGAGATACTACCAGTAGCGTTGGGCTACCATGTTAACTTCACCAGCGCTGCCTTCGTGGTTTGCTATGGATGCTATCTGTAGCCTAGCCCTCATCCCCTTCTGCCTCATACCACTGTGCTGTCTCCTTCCAGGTGTGTTCCGCGGTGGCCATGACATCCTTGTGCGAGCCCGGCTACTGCTTCTGGACACAGTGACGATGCAGGTGACAGCCAGAAGTTCACAGGAACTGCCAGTAGACGTTCTCTTGGCATCTGTGGGCTAGGGGTCCAGCCTACATAGGCACTACTCTTATTTTCCCCAACAGTCACAGAAGTTGTGCCTTCTCCCAAAACCGTTAACCCTTTCCCAAGCCTCTGCCCACAGATAAATAAAATAAAATTAACAATTATTGTGTATTACTCTGAATTGTAAAAACTTCTGTCCCTCATCAGGACTGTGCGGGCCTAATTTTGAAAAAGAGGGGGAGAGCAGTGTGGGGTGGTGATAAAGTCCTCACCTGTGGGATGGGCCCAGTGCTGCTTCTGCAGACGGAGGCTGGCGCCCCCCATCCCCCCGCCGTACCTCCTCCCTGGAAGGCCGCTTGGCCGCCCTTCCCTTCCCGGGTCAGGCTGCGGCTGGGCTGCCAGGGAGAAGGGTGGCCATGCGCCTAGGCCCCAGGGGGCGCCGCCGGGGGCGTCGGGGTCCTGGGAACTGCCCGGGACAGCCGCCGGGAGGCGACGGGGGCCGGGCGGTCGGCACGGCCCGGTGGATGCGCCCTGGGC